TTTTTTTTTTTTTTTGGGACCATCACGCGTGCTGTGTAGCTTAGTTATATGGGTAGGCCCAAAGTTGTCAACATTTTACCTTTGTTTTTGTTTGGGCCCAAACTTTTCTAAAATTTACCAATAAAAAAGAGCATTTTTGCTCCCCATTTTAACCAAGGACATAACTATTGTTCTATAAATATAAAGTAAAAAGTTAACTATAGTTATACTTAAGGATACTTGTCAAGTATTAAGGATAATGATGACCGGTGAGGATACGTCTTAGGTTAAAATAGTGAGAAAAATATTTCCAAATAAGAAACAGTATTTCCCCATTTGGAGCCTTCCATTCCAATCAATCTCCACTTGATCTTGATTGGCCAATTTTGCAGAAATAATTGTGATATGTCTCCTCCATATCAAAATCTTCATTTTGCTTTAAAAACCCCTTTGGACTCTTGCATGCGTTAAATCCCTTTTGGAGTGCTTCTTTTAAGGGGGGAGATTTTTATTGTTATACATGTCGACCAAAAACGCTCAAGTTGCAAAAATACAGGTACACACAGCAGTCGACTGGCTCACCCATCAACTTTGGGTGCGATTGATTTGATTATGAAGGTTTAGATGAGAACGAGAGCAAGGCTGTTTGGTTTCCCATTGCTTTTGCTTTTAGACCCACACTGGACCAACCTGTGCCAAGATGATATTATGTTAAAGAGCAGATGTATCTCGGCTTTTGGCCCCCCAAACAAGATTTTTCCATATTCCTTTTGAGGCTGCTAGAATTTTTTTATTATTATTATCATCAATTTTAGGGATTTTGTTGTTTTTTTGGGAACTCGGGTTCTATAAATTGACACGTTTCCCTCCCTACTCTCATCACTCACTCCACTGCCTCCAATATTCAGATTCAGAGACACAAAAATATCAAGATGGAATCTTCTTCATCTTCTACACATTTTGCCACATGTTTTCTCACAGCACTTTCCATTAGTTTATGCATAATCTCCTCAACCTCAGCAGCCAGAGACCTTGCACCAAAAACCAACACTGAATTCATCAAAACATCTTGCAGTGCAACAACCTACCCAAAACTCTGCCTCACCTCTCTCTCAAGCCATGCAAGCACAATCCAAACAAGTCCTAAGCTCATGGCTGGTGCAGCCCTTAATGTGACACTTTCCTCTGCCAAATCCACCTCTGCCACGATGCTAAAACTCTCCCAACGCCATGGCTTGAAGCCTAAAGAAGTTGGTGCCATGAGAGACTGCCTCGAAGAGTTAAGTGACTCGGTCGACGAGCTCCAGAGTTCTATAGCTGAGATGGGTAACTTCAAAAGCTATGATTTTCAGCTCATGATAAGTGATGTCCAAACTTGGGTTAGTGCTGCTTTGACAGATGAGAACACATGTTCTGAGGGGTTTGGTGGAAATGGGATGAATGGGAATTTGAAGACTGCTGTGAGAGGCCAGATTGTGAATATAGCACATTTGACTAGCAATGCCTTGGCTTTGATCAACCGATACGCCTCTGTTCATGGTTAAATTGATCTGCTCTTCTCTGTTAAGATAATTACGAGGAAGATGCTTGCAATTGTTTTATAATTTTGATGTGTGGGTGCTTAGATACTCAGATTGTATTATATTTTAGTGTTGTGAAAGTGGTCTTGTTGTAATTGTACATTTTAAATGCTTGATCTACGAATCTATTGGTTTTCGAACGTAGATGGTGTTTGTTGGCCTTTGTATATGTTGTATGGTAGCTCGAATATATAAATTAAACCCAACAAGTAACTTGTAACCATCTGCTTGTATTTTAGGTGTGGTTTTTGCCTTTGCATATACATGTTGTATGCACAAGTCGAAAAATTCTATCTTTAGTCGCGCATAACGTAACGGTTTCTCGGTGCCTTATAATAACAGGTAACTGGTAACTAAGGAGTGAAAGGGAGAGAAGATGGTGTGAAACCGAAAAACTTTTATGAGATGGTGACATGCTGCTTAGTTGTTTATGAAAAAAATTGAGGATGGGTGTGGTCAAGGTCACCAACTCTCGGTTGTCTTATTTGCTAGAAAAGAGCACAGTTTCCATCATGGTGAAAAGATAGGGAACAAGAATACCTAACCTGTGCCAAGATGATATCATCAAAAACCTTTGATTGCAAGAAAACAAAATCCCAATAATTTACAAAGATTAGGATCGACATGAAAAAACCACTATTGGCTGCAAATCCTAATGTTATTTTCATGAATTGAAATGTGGTCCAAACTAACACAAGTAGGGTTCATCAACTTGGCCAATAGGCAGCTCAGCTCTCACATGGTTGCAAGGATTCTGGATTTCCTCATAATTTCATCTACACAAGTAGAAAATAATAATAATAATAATATGCTGAACAAACACACTAAATCCCTCACAAGAAACTGTAAGAACAAACAGCATCAAAAACAGAAGAAAAAAAAGATGATGACCAAGCCTTAAGCAGCAGGCGCCACTAATTCTTTCCTTGATATGTAGAGTAGGAAAGTAGGAAAAGTTTCTAACCAAGAAGCATATACCTGATGGAATGTAATTCAGATGCAACATCACTGATATCCTTTCGGTTCGCGGGTGGTTCAACAGAACATGCAATTCCAAGTCTAAATATCAAACTTAAGCACTCCTCCACTCTTTGATCATTCACGCTGTATTGTTCGGGAGATTTGATGCTGCCTTCTTGAAGAAGTAAATCTGCAATCTCTGTGACTCGATCGGGAAAAGCCGTCTTCACAAAATTATGAAGGTTCAAGCCATCACTAAACATGTGATCAGTGGGTCTCCTTCCCGTAAACATCTCTAACAAGAGAATGCCAAAGCTGTAGACATCTCCACTTTTCGACACTTCACTTCCCATACCATACTCTGCAGTTGAAGTATCACAAAATATTGTCACCACAATTCTAAATAAAATGGCTCTCTTGAATTATGCAACAAAGTAAGAATAACTGATTATGTGCGTGGAAATGTGGGCATGGAACATGAACCGTCTATGCAAATGATCAATTAATTGTAATTAGAACCAAGTTAAAAGATGAAGAAAGGCAACAGTGAAGCATATAGGAATATTTACCTGGAGCAGCATAGCCAACCGATCCCCTTATGCCAATGGAACTTGCTTGATTTGCTGAAGCCTTATCGGCTAATTTTGCAAGGAATCTTGCAAGTCCAAAGTCAGAAACATGTCCAGTAAACTCTGTGTCCAAGAGAACATTGCTTGGCTTGAGATCGCAATGGACTATTGGTGTTCCGCAATCGTTATGAAGATAATCAAGTGCACAAGCAATGTCAATGATGATGTTTAGCCTCTGAAGAAGATTTAAATTCTTGGGTGCATCTGTTTCCTCTTTCGTTTCAATAGTCGAATGCAACCACTCTTCTAAGCTCCCATTGTCCATTAACTCATACACAAGAGCCTTGAAATCATTACCTTGATAATCAACAGCTGAACATGCAGTAATAATCTTGACAAGATTTCGATGCCTGATATTTCTTAACGCCTCACATTCGGCCACGGAACTCTTAGATGCTCCATGATATAACATGTTAAACACCTTGATGGCAACAAGCTGAGCTCCATCAAAATCAAGAACTCCTTTATACACAGACCCAAAACTGCCCACACCAATCAAATTAGCTGAAGAGAACCCGTTTGTAGCTTTGAGAAGAGTACTATATGATACTTGCAAAACAGAGTTCATTGAAGTGCTCAATGCAGTTTCTCTGTTTTCCTTTCGTGACGATCGAAGAAACAGAAAATACAACACCACAGCTATTCCTAGAAGAGCAAACCCAACAACTATGGAGATAAGTATTTTCAGGCCACGAGACAATCCGCCTCCATTGGACTCTTTAGACTTGCACTTGGCCAGTTGGAGATTAGGAACACCGCCGCAGAGCCCGGTGTTTCCAACAATTGAAGTAGCACTTGCATTTTTAAAAACACCTCCAGTTGGTACTGCTCCCCAAAACTGATTGAAAGATAGGTTCAGATTCTTCAACAAGGCAAAGCTCTCTAAAAATCGTGGAATTTCACCCGAAAAATTGTTACGAGAAATGTCTAAATCTTGAATCCCTTTAACCGAAATCATAGATGAAGGAATGATCCCCTTGAAGAAGTTACCCTGCAAGTGTAGGACTTCTAGATGTATACAACTACCAAGGCTATTGGGAAGTTCTCCTGATAACAAGTTATCAGAAACATCCAATGCACCTAGATTGTTCAACTTCCCAACCTCCATGGGAAGGGAACCAGTAAAGTGGTTTTTAGACAAGTCCAAATAGATTGATAAGGAAGAGAGGCCAAGAAGTTGTTGAGGTATTGGGCCACTAAAGTTATTTTGAGAAGCATACAATTCTTGCAGTCCAAGGCATCCCCCTAGCACCCCCATGCTTCCCTGAAGATTATTCCCTTGCATTCCCAGTGCGGATAACTTGGTTAAGTTTCCAAAAGAAGATGGAATGGTTCCTGATAACTGGTTGACTTGAAGATCTATTTCCTCAACCATTGAAAGCTTCCCAAAGTCTGTGGGGATGCTACCTGTGAAGGAGTTTTCCCCCAGAGCCAAAAATTCCAAGTTGACCAGATTCCCTATCCCAGCTGGTATGCTTCCATGTAACTTGTTTCTTTGAACCACAAGAACTTCGACCGTGGTTGAGAGGTTGGCTATTGAAGCGGGTAATGTCCTGCCAAAATTGTTAGAGCTTATTATCAACCTCCATAACCTTGTGGCATTGCACAAGTCTGAGACAAATCTCAAGTCACCATCTTGACCGCTTCCAAGATGATTAAATTGGATGTTAAAATTCACAAGGTTATGAAGCCTTTCCAAATTTGGAACCTGTCCGGTCAGTTTGTTATTTGAAACTTCAAATCCCACTAGACTTGTGGCATTGGATATTGATGAAGGAATTGATCCGGTAAACTGGTTTGTGTGAAATTCAAATTTTTGAAGATTAGGAAGAGTTTTAGCCAAGTCCGAAGGAATAGTCCCTTGAAATTGGTTTATTGCTAGGGCAAAAATAACGAGAGCAGAGAGGTTATAGAAGGAAGGAGGGATAGTACCTGACAAGTTATTTGAATCCATTGCAAACCCTGTTAATTTTTTCAACTGGCCTAGAGAGGTAGGGATGCTTCCCAACAAGTTATTATAAGTAGCACCAAGTATCTCGAGAGACGAAAGGTTCCCCAAGGAAGGAGGGATCTCTCCTGTGAAATTATTGGATTGTAAAACAAGTTTTTGAAGCTTTGACAAGGTGCTGATTTCTGAAGGAATCTTACCCACCAACCTGTTATCACCAAAATGGATAAAGATGAGGTTGATGCAATTGGATATTTTGGCAGGAACAGGGCCTCTAAGTAAGTTTTGGTCTAGACGTAAAATCTTTAACCTATGCAAATTCCCAATTTCTGAAGGGATTTCATGAGTAAAGCTATTGTTTTGGAGGTATAGTTCCCTTAGGAAGCTCAGATTTCCTATTTGTGGGGATATGGACCCTGCAAAGTTTTGGGACTGTAGGTCTAGCATAGAGACCCTCTGATGCTGTTGACGACTGCAAGTGACACCGTGCCATAGACAAAAGTGGATGGATTCATTCCAGGAGCTCAGGAGTTGATGAGGATCCTGCTTTATTTGAGCTTTGATGGCTAGCAGTGCCAGCCTATCCGTCTCATTTCCTCCAAGTCCCAATCTGTACTGGTTTGTGGTTATGGGATAGTTCAAATGCATGGAGCTCCAACAACAAATGAACATTGCAGTAAATAGTGAGTGTGCTAAGGTCAATTTCACAACCATTTTGATTTGGGTGATTAACGAGAGAGAGAGAGAGAGAGAGAGAGAGAGAAGAAGAAGAAGAAGAATTGGGTTGTGAAATTGCTAAGTTCCATTTGAGACATGGCAAATTAATTTATTAGGACAGGAATGGAAGAAGCTACATCACAACTAATGGTTGTGGAAAATTAGTAAAATATGAGAAAAAAGTCCCAAGTAAAGGATGATCACAGTGGACTTGTTTTCCAACTGATCACAACTGTTGTGGGTAGGAGAAGTTTCTAGAAGCTGAGTGGAAGTAGAACAACCGCACTAGGCTGGTGCTAATTAAATCAGTGCATTGAAACGCACGTCAAAGGAAACACCTCTAAACAAAACCGCAGTAGGCCAGCTCCCATTCTTGACTTGTGATATTAATATAAAATTATCAAAACTTTGATCACCACCAAAAGCTATAAGAAATAAAATCTAGTTACATTATGGAACCCAACAGGTAACTGGTAACTAATGAGTGCAAGGGAGTGAATGAAGATGGTGTGAAACCAAAAACTTTTATGAGATGGTGACATGCTGCTTGGTTGTTTATAAAAAATTGAGGATGGGTGTGGTCAAGGTCCCCAACTCTCGGTTTTCTTATTTGCTAGAAAGAGCACATTTTCCTTCATGGTGTAAAGATCGGGAACAAGAATACCTAAAATGTGCCAACAGAACATGCAATTCCAAGTTTAAATATCAAACTCAAGCACTTTCACGTTTAATACACGTATTGTTTAATACACATATTGTTTATTCATATAAAGAGTTTAGTACTTTCACGTTTAATACTCTATTATACATGTATGTATGTATGTATGTATTTTTTAATAATACATTCATGTTCTATACACGTCTCAAAGACTAGGTTAAATTCATGTTTTTTTAAAATGCAAACATACAATATTCGTATTGTACATGTACATACGTATTTTTCATGTTTAATACACGTATTGTTTACCAAATTTTCAATAAGACACACAAAATTAACGTATTATACAAATAATTCTCACATATTAATGAATACAAATAATATATATTTAATTTATATAGTGGCCGATTAATATATGCTTTGGATATGTTGAACCTGACAAATTAATATCTATAAAGTATAAATTAGGTTCCTTTTTTCTTAATTTTTTTAATTAAATCGTATAGCCAAACGGCTACACTTGTTTTGGCACATCGCTAGGGAGCCCTCTCTTTTATTTTAAAAACCGAGTATAGCCGGCTATACTCGGTTCCACTTGTTTTGACACGTGGGCTCCTAATCGCTAGGGAGCCCTTCCTTTTAAAAAAAAAAAATAGTATAACCGGTCGGCTATACTCGATTTTATTCATGTTTCTTGAAAATAGTATCGCCGATCGGCTATACTCCATTTTTAAGTTTTTTTAATAAATAGTATAGCCGTGCGGCTGTGCTTCATTTTTTTTGTTTTTGTTTTTTTAATAAATACTATAGCCGGGCGGCTACACTTGTTTTGACACGCCCAATCGCTAGGGAGCCATCCTTTTAAAAAGAGTGTAGCCGGGCGGGTATACTTATTTTGACACATGGGCGGCTATACTCTGCTGTATTCATGTTTCTTAAAAGTATTATAGCCGCGCGGCTATACCCGGTACCTAGCTAGAACCAGACATGCTCAAAGAGAATATGGTGCAACTAACAATAAACAGCTCAATGACATTCCTCCTAATGTATGTGTGGATCTATTTGGCAGTTGATAGATTTCTGCGGTAGAGCTCTCTCTCTCTCTCTCTCTCTCTCTCTCTCTCTCTCTCTCTTATTTAGACGCCATCATTGGACGCTTTTGTGAGTCGGTGGAGGATTTCTTCGGTAGAGCTGAAATTTTCAGTGATGATCGGGAAGAAGCTGAGTGGTTATCTATGTCTCTTTCTGATCTTAGAGCGCTTGCAAATAAAATAATGTCTCTTCGGGCAAAGGGGCTTCTACATTTGGTCCCTGTAGATTCTTTTGTTAGATTGTTAAGGATTTTAGATCATCAGATACATCGAGCTGAAGGCTTGTCTATAAGTGAATGTGAGCAGGTGACCTTGTTTTATGTCCTGCATTCTTTCTTGCATATAGCATAGCTGTTGTGGTAGTTTATATGACATTTCTTCAGGCTTCTGTGCTGTTCTTCTTGTTTATATTTTCATTGAAAGTTCGTGCTATTTTTAGTTTTGCTTCTTCATGATTTTTTTTGGGTCTGATTTTAGAATCTCCATGCTAGTAATGATGTTACTGAGGTGCCTTGCAATATATTGATTGTTTTAAATTTCATCTTATAATGGTCTTGTTATCTGAATCACTGTTTGTCTGACCCTATGTTTTCCTATTTATCACCATATTTGGGCAGAAACATTAGGGAGATAAAAATAATTGCGAAGAAAAAAATGTTTATCAGTATAGAGAATGTATTTAAGCATCTGAGCATTTGGAGGAGACTACTTATTATGTATAAATTTCATTTGGTAGTAATGGAGAGTGGAGAGAGCAATGGGAGTGATAAATGGTCAGAGTAATAATGGGAATAATCAGGAAAGAGAGGGAGGAAGAAATATAGAGAAATAGTTTCACTCATTTGGCAGTGGTTATAACACTAGTTTAATTTATAAACTTGTTATTACAGTATTTTCGTTATGGATGAAATTTATGCGCTCAATTCTATATACATATATATTTGGAGTTTTTATTTTAATAGGTATTCATGATCACTTTCATTTATTACTTTTCTCTTCAATATGTCAGTCAAATTCAGATGTGGTTTCATCAATAAATTGTGCACTAGAGTCCATTCATGCAGCTTTAGCAGTAATGGCTCATAACCAGATGCCAAAACAACTATATAAAGAAGAGGTACACACTTTATGCTAAGGATCTCTCTACATTTTGTGGATATCCGTTATATGTGTAACTTCGTATCTTGTAATTTCTTTTTATGATTATAAAAAAGGTAAGTAATTCTAATTTGTGTATATCAGATCATTGAAAGAATTCTGGAGTTTTCCAGGCATCAGATAATGGATGTTATGTGTGCTTATGATCCATCATATTGTGCTTTGCATAGGCCAACTCAAAATGGATCCCTTGAAGGTTAGTTTTTTTTTTTGTTTTGGAAAAAGGTGGGGTTTCCTTAACCCACTACATTCATATGTTCCTGAGTTTTTCATACGTATTTTAACATATTATTTTGTATACACAACTCTGTCCATTCCGTATATTGTCTTGCTCAATCATTCTGCATTTTCAGGAGTAGTTGTTTTCAACTTATGTGATTTGAGTGACAAGATTTTTCAATATATTAACAGTTGGGGAAGATGAAGCCCCTAATGCTGAAATTGGTTCAGCAAGCAAGAAACGAAGCAGTATCAAGACCGTTAAAGTGCATAAACCGTCATTTAACAGGTGTGCTTCTCTATATTCTGCTCCTATGTTGTTGGTTTTTTTTTTCTTCACTAGATCCTTATATAAAAAAATTTAGGTGTTGTCTTGTTCCTTACATCTTTGCCTTGGTAGGGTCTCTGCTGCTGTGAATAATATTCTTCAGAAAATGTGCACCATTCTTGGTTTAGTCAAGGATTTGTTGTTAATAGAAAGGTTGTCAGATGGTTGCATCTTACAACTAGTGAAAACAAGCTTTACAACATTCATGGTGGATGATATCCAGCTCTTGCAACTGAAGGCAATGGGTTTAATCAGTGGGGTACAGATCTGCACTAGTCATATCCTCTTGGCAGCTATTGTTTGCACATACCTATAGATATTTTCATGCACATAAGCATTTTAATGTTATTTACTCTGAAACTTGTAACATCTTCATTGTTGGTGGTACAGATATTCTGTTCATACACTCAGCATCGGACTTGTGTAGACTGTAATATCTTTAATTGTATTAAAATGTCACCATGTTTAAGGCGATTTATTTGCAGGTTCTTTGTGTCTTGTTACTCCAGAATGCCGGGCTGAAATCTAAAGACATAGGTGTACGTACCATGGCGATTGACCTTCTTGGCACAATTGCTGCGAGGTTGAAGCGTGATTCTGCCTTTTGCAGTAAGGACAAATTTTGAATACTACAGGAGTTGGTTAGTGTGGATGGGGATGATCAGACTGATCCAAAAAATGCAAGGTTGTTAGAGAATGTTTCATGCTGATTGCATGGGAGTAGGAGAATATGAAGTTCCGAATCCAAGTTGGCACTATCAAATATGCCTCTGCAGGAAGCAACTTCTTGTTTTACAATTTTAATCGGTCAGGAAGAAACACTGAAGTTGCTTTTTCAATTACAAAACTTGAGGTTGTCGTCCAGCAGATGCTTTTGAATTACCTTCAAGATGCCGCATCAGCTGATGATGGTCATCTCTTTGTTCGCTGGTATGTACTCGTTGAACCTCATCCCTTCTTAACTTTGTGGTTCCATTGTTTCCATCGTAAAGCTATGCATGTTGTACAGGTTTTATCTCTTGGTGTGGTACAAGGATGATCCAAAATCACAGCAGAAGTTCATGTACTATCTTGCTAGACTGAAATCAAAAGAAATAGTGTGGGATTCTGGGACTCAGATGTCGAATTGCAATCCTGTTGGCAGTCCTACTGAATGTGGTTTGAAGCTAACAAAGGATCCTGAAGGAGAGAAAGTAAACAGCACCCTCTACAAACAAATTGTAGGAAGTTTGATGTATGTCACAGCCACCAGGCCAGATGTAATGCATGCAGTCAGCCTCATCAGTCGTTATATGGAATGTCCTACAAGACTGCACCTACTTGCTGCAAAGAGGATCTTCCGCTATTTAAAAGGAACTTCTGATTTTGGCATACTTTATAAAAAGGGTACAAAGGGTGGTTTGATTGGTTTTTGCGACAGCGATTATGCTGGAGACTTGGATGATAGAAGGAGCACATCAGGACATGTTTTTACAATGGGATCAGCAGCTGTATCTTGGTCTTCAAAGAAACAGCAAATTGTGACTTTATCGACTACTGAAGCAGAGTTTGTTGCTGCTGCATCTTGCGCATGCCAAGCTGTTTGGTTAAGGAGGCTACTTGGAAAGCTAAATTTTAATCAGCTAGATCCCACACCAATGTTCTGTGATAATATTTCTGCAATCAAGCTGTCCAAAAATCCAGTTTTGCATGGAAGGAGTAAGCATATAGATGTGAGGTTCTATTTCCTACGTGATCTGTGTAATGATGGTACCATTGATTTGATCTTTTGTAAAAGTGAAGACCAAGCTGCAGATATCCTAACCAAACCTCTCAAGTTGCCAGCATTCTTGAAGCTCAGGAAGATGTTGGGAATTTGCTCTGCCAAGGATATTGTTTAACTGCAGCTGTGATGTGTTTATGTTTTTATTTAAACTGATGTCTTATGACATTCAGTTTAAGGGAGGATGTTGAGATTTATCTTAATTATGTTTTCTGCAGAATAATTGTTGTTCCTATTTTATAGGAGTCAGTTGTTTCCTTTCCTGGTCTTTAGGAATCCCTCTAGTGGATGGAGTTTGTTAGACGTGTTTACTTGTTACTGTTTATTTGCTAATTAGTTGTTTGTACTCTCCTTTATAAGAAGAGCATGTTTCAGTCAATGAATAACAAGTTCAGTTCAGCAATTCTATTGTCTTCTTATTTTCAAAGCTATCTTTTAGTTCTCACAGAATTCACCTGTAATTAAGGACAAGGCTTTACGAGCGGTAAACAAAAAAATATATTCTTGGACTTTTAATCCTTGAAATGGAAATTGAGAATTCATTTTATGGCTATGTTAGCAGAATTTAATGTCTTAATATCTTAATATCTTAATATGATGAGCAGGTCAGTATAATTGTAGAAGCTGATCCGCAGGTGCTAGGAGACAAACGCGTTCAATCGGCTGTTGAAGGAAGGTTTTGTGATTCCGCAATTTCTGTCAGAAGCAGCACTGGAACTTGTAGGGAGGCATATTGCTTCTCATCCTGATGTTGGTTTGAAGGTGCGCTCAATTGATCTCTAAACCTACTAAGTTCTTCGTAGATTCTCTAGTAACGCATTTTGCTTCATCTTCTCCACATTTTCTTTTAGTATTTTGAGAAGGTTGCTGAGAGAACCAAAGATACTGGTGTAAGTGTTCGAAAACGTTCTATCAAAATCATACGAGATATGTGCGTTTCAAATGCAAACTTCTCCGAATTTACAAAAGCTTGCATTGCTATCATCTCCCGTATTGGTGACGATGAATCAAGTATACAGGTAATTCTGAAGCAATGAATGTGTTGGATTAAGGATTGATGACATGTAAAATACAATGAGCCCTCTCTTTTAAAAAAAAAAAATAGTATAGCCGGGCGGCTATACTTATGCTGACACGTGAGCAACTAATCTCTAGACGGGGTTTTTTTTTTATAGTATAGCCGGGCGGCTATACTATGCTGTATTCATGTTTCTAAAAATAGTATAACCGGGCGGCTATACTATTTCTGACACGTGGGCAACTAGTTGCTATGCTGCTGCTCTTTTTTTTCTTCACACTCGTTTTTTTTCTTTAAAAAAAAATTGTATAGCCGTGCGGCTTTACTAGGTTTTTTGTTTTGTTTTTTTATGAGTAAAATACAAGGAGCTCCCCCTTTTTATAAAAAAAACGAGTAAAGCCGAGCGGCTATACTCGGTTGTTATATTTTTTTTACAAATAGTATAGCAGGCGGCTATACTATAACAAATAGTATAGCAGGCGGCTATACTTACTTTGACATGTGGGCAACTAATCGCTAGATGAGGTCTTTAGTTTTTTTTAATAAATCGTATAGCCGCGCGGCTATACTCTGTTGTATTCACGTTTCTAGAAATAGTATTGCCGCGCGGCTATACTTTTTCTGGCACGTGGGCAAACTAGTCGCTATGCTGCTGTTCTTTTTTTTTTTCTTCATAAATAGTATACTCGATTTTTTTATTTAAAAAAAAAATTGTATGGCCGTTCGGCTTTACTAGGTTTTTTTTTGTCTTTTTATATGAGTAACGCTATTGTTTTTATTAATTAAATAATATCTCAGCCTTATTTAATTATTGTCTTTTTATCACAAATGGTCCTTGACGTTTATGAAATTATCACGAATGGTCCTTGAGGTTTTTTTGTGACACTAATAGTCCTTAACGTTTGGACTTTTTATCACAAATGGTCCTTGCTGTCAAAAATTCTGTGAAGTGTATGATGTGGAAGATAAGTGGAGCCCACATGTACAATCACATCGTGACATGTGGATTAAATAAATAAATAAATATTTTTTTTTTTATGAAAATCCATTAAAAAACCATTTAGCCTCTCTCTCTCTCTCTCTCTCTCTCTCTCTCTCTACTCTCTAAATAATTATTTAATTAGTAATTATGTTTTAATTATTATTTCTTTAGTGAATAATTAGTATTGCTATGTTTTAATTAACTTCATAAATTATAAGTTGTAATTTTTTTCTTTAATAAAATATTTAAATACTAATTATTCACTAAGTAAACAATAATTAAAGTAATTAGAACAGAGAAATCAAGATTATGCTCTTTAAAGAGTATAGCCGCGCGGCTGTACGTTTTAAGTAGAATATTCATAAGGTACAGCCGCCCGGCTATACTATATTCAATTTAACACGGCTATACCTCTTTAAATATTAATATATTTGAACAGTATAGCCATATTCAATTTAACGCGGCTATACCTGTTTAAATATTATGACCCTTTGTATGTAATAATATCGATCGAATCTTCATGTCATAGTGGGGCCATAGATTTCTTCTTAGTTATTTTGTTTTATTTTATCATCATAGTTAGAAAGGGGGAGGGGGAGGAGAAATATTTTTATGTTCAGGTACACCAATTGTCTGGCACTGGTAGAGCAAGGATTCTTAGCATGAAGGGGCCAAAATTTCAAAGTCACTTCCACATAAGTTTTTCATCTTCAACTAATAGGGTCAACATAAATCTAATTGCAGTAATTATATTGCTATATCATATATTTTATAATATATTACAATAGATTGAAAATTAAATGGGGGCCCAGGCCCATGACATGCCTTGCTATAGCTCCACCCCTACTATGTGGTGTACCATTCAATACACATAAGACATATGAAAATATTTTATAAAAATAAAATAATTTTATATGTCCCATTTGCATTTTATGATACACAATTTTCATATATATGCTTTTCCTTTTTTAATATATGTTCGAAAAATCCGTAAGCAGTAGGTGGGCGGCGAGCATGGGCCTAGAGCTGAGAGGAGTAATCAAGGCCTAGGCACCCTTTTTTTTAATAATTATTTTGTATTACAAATTATAAATTTATACCAAAATCATGTAAAATAATAAGATATAGAAAAGAAAACTTTAATATTTTCCAATCTTGATATTATCTGGCTTTTATTTTTGTATTTTCAGTAACCTTGATATTTATTAAAAAAAACCGCAAAAAAAAAAAAAGTAAAAATAGGCCCATTTTAATACAATGTTTAATGGCATTTTACAAAACCCAACCTGTTAATTATATTAAAAATTAGGTCAGATATCTCTTCTTCCCAAGCGTCGCCTTCTCCTTCCTCTCTCTGTATTGATTTCATCACTCTGCCTCTCCATCTTTCTTCCTAACAAGCAGTGGCTCTTGCGCGCTTCAACCGACCTTCGTCCGCTCCTCAATGGCAAAACGCCCACCCAGACCCGCCTAGACCCGCCTAAGCCGCCTAGGTGGGCGCCCAG